AGCCAGTATAATTGATATGAAGAAAAAAAAAATCATTTTAAAAGGAATTTTTTCCCCGTTAAGTTCCATTTTCGGTGTGCCGATTCCCGTTAATCGTACTTAATAATAAAATGTAGATAAATGAGCTTATTTTAATCTTTTCTCCTTTTAACTGTATAACTTAAGGTGCAGACTTTCAAAAGGTAATTCGACCGGAAAATTTCGTTAGAAACAACGATAAAAGTGCTGAAGTGTCATGTCAATTCTCCTGTATGGCAGTGAATGCAGGACAATTTTCTCACAGATGAAGAGGAGACATGAGCCAACAGAAATGTGATTCCACAGAAGGATACTGAGAATACCATGAAGGGAGCATCAGCACAACGAGGAAGATTTTTTTTTTTTTTTTTTTACTTAGGACCTGAAATAGAGAGTTGAAATTTTTGGGACATATGAGGAAAGAGGGCTTGGAGAATTTAACACTCACAGAACATATTGAAAGCAAATAGGACAGAGGGACAAAACAAGTAACCTATCTTACATGCTTGTGCAAATGGATTGTAGAACAAAGGGTAGACGGGAAGTAAAAAACAAACAAACAAAACAAAACATTGCTAATAGTTACAAAAGAATAGGAAGTTGTGAAGGGTCATGATTGCCTACACCCAGAAGAGACATAGCACGTAAAATAAGAAGACAATATAATAGATAAATAGCAATCTCTGTTTGTTATGTTAAAAGGGGTGTAAGACAAGGATGTGTCTCACTGGACTTATCCGTCCTATAGAGTAAGGCGATTCCGATAGAATTAGAAGTCCTACCAGGATTCATTACTGGCGGCCACAATTTACAAGAACTCCTACAGAAGGTAGTGAAGAAAATCTAGAAGAAAGAACTAAACATCAATTGCAAGAAGACAGTATGCATAGTTGTTAGCAAAAGGAACAGCTCAACATGCAAATTACAAATTGGATATCCCAAGATCAAAGTACAGTAATTTAAATATCTGGAAAGCATTTTAACAGAGGACGGAAAAAGCGATACTGAAATCCGAAGGTGCATGGGATAGCGAAAGATGTCTTTAAAAAATTAAGCAAAGTATTAAGAAACACGAAAATGTCATTAGAAACAAAAAATAGTACTTAACTGTTACATAATTTCAGGCCTCCATATATGGCAGTGAATACGGGAAAATCTCCTCACAGATGAAGAAAAGAATTGAAGTAACAGAAATTTGGTTCTACAGAAGGATGCTGAGAATACCATGGACTGAACAACGATGAAGTTTTAGAGAAAAAGGAAATATAAAGGACACTTATACTTAACATCAGAAAGAGACAGTTGAAATTTCTAGGGCACAATGAGGAAAGAGGGCTTGGAAACTTTGGCACTCACAGGGCATATTAAAGGCAAGGGGGTGGAAAACCTACCTAACGAGCTTGCGTAAATGGATGGCAGAAAAGTGTCTATGCAAGAAAACAAAAAAGGTAGCAGTTACTAAGAGCTACAAAGGACAGGAAATAGTGGAGAATCAGGATCGCCAATGTCCTGAAGAGATATGGCACATAGAAGAAGAAGAAGAAGGGTGAGGAGGAGGAGAAGAAGAAGATGCCGAAGAAGAAGAAGGGTGAGGAGGAGAAGAAGAAGAAGAAGAAGAAGAAGAAGAAGAAGAAGAAGCCGAATAAGTAGAAGAAGTGGAGGAGGAGGAGGAGAAGAAAGAAGCTGAAGAAGAAGGAGTGGAGGAGGAGAAAAAGAAAGAAGCCGAATAAGTAGAAGAACTGGAGGAGGAGGAGGAGGAGAAAGAAGCCGAAGAAGAAGAAATTTAACTCAGTGAAATATTTTACATTGGTTTTTATTTGAACTCTAAGGGTTTTTGAATTGAGCTGAAAATTCGAAACTCGATATAAGAATAAGAACATGACTCTGCTGTTTTTTTTTAATTAGCACGAATTTATATGTATGGAAAATTAGCATTCGAAATTCTAGGCGTGAACTTCGATCGCTTGCACTACTGGGGAATACATATTTCAATGATGAGGCAATCCACAATACGACGCCCTTCTGAATGCCTTTCATTTTGAAAATGTTTATAGCAGCCTTGCTAATTAATCAAAGTCACAGTTAATATGGTAAATTAGATTCGAATAATTGTTGACAAATTTAAACTGCAATTTATTCAGTTTTTTTTTTTTACAACAAAATCTTTGCATTCAAAAGATGTGTGTGCACTTAATTTGATTTTCTGTGGATGGATCATAGCTCTCCACAAATTTCTTTTTTTATTATCCGTGAATTGCCAGGACTTCTTGGGGGAAATATAATGAACTGGTTTCCTGTTGTTTTCTCCAAGGTTTTGAATTCAGAATTCTACTTCTAGACTAGTTGCTACCCAAGGCAATAGTTGTCACCAGTATATCTTCTATTTAATCCATGGATAGAGGAGGAGTGGAGAGAAGAAACAAATTCATGCCTTTTCTCGAGAGCATTTGTACAAAAGTGAACGCAACAGGCCGACATTTGAACTGAGCTGGCCGATTCCGCTTTCTAATAACTGTCAGGATAAAGAGATAAGGTCATAAGAGAAAGAGAGCTTGATATGCTTAATTTACAAATTTTAACGAGCTTTGCCAATATGAAGACGAAAAATTATTATTCTTTAATTAAAAATGCGATGTTATTTATTAAAAAATGTTTTTCTCAGGAGAAAATAATGCGAACGTGAATGCAACAAACTAGATCAGAATTAGAACTCGGTTCGCCGCTTCCATTTTCTGCGCCGATATCCGTTCCAGTCAAATCCATTACATTCACTTACATGCTAATACCCTTCTCCCCCCAGCTATGGGTAAATAGCAGGACAGACCGGGTCCTTTAGCCTTGGATGGCAACTGGTCTACCGCAGAAAGAAATGGCAACCTACTGCGGGAAAAATCTGCCTCGTCAATCATGTATTGAAAGATACATGATCGCCTAAGCGTGTATCACGTATGGCATATAACTGACTGACTGACCCTCACATCTAGAATTAGATATGCGTCCGATATAAAAGTAAGTTCAAATATTTAAGTGAATGCTATTATAGTTTACAGGGTTAAAGGAAGCTTACGTTGATTGAATTAGAGGCGCTACCATAGAGTTTCAGGATTTGGTAATTTTTTTTCTGTTTCGCTCCCATCTTTTGGTAAGCGTTGACGTCGATCTCTCTAGATCAGCTAACATTTTTTGAGTTGATTTTATTTAAATTATTTACAGTCGTACACCATCTTTGTTGTTCCTAGGGCCGGTGCGTACTATACCTGACCAAACCACTGACTGAAGGCGGGAACCCTGATTGGTGGATTCCAGGTGTGCTTTGTGACACTTGCTATCTTATCAATATTTACTTTTTTTCTACATATATTTATATAACGTTACAAAATGTACAACTGACTTTTTAAAGGAAAAATTTTCGCGGATTTTGATGTCAATTCTGTCTTTTTTTCTAGTTCAAATCTGTTAATTTATTTTGCTCAGGCTAAGTGTCAAAAAACTCTATGTAAAATTCACAATTTTTTGTCCATAATATTGAATGTGTTTAAATTATTCAATTTTTAACAAGAAAAATCTCAAGGTGATGTTAAAAATTACTGCCAAACATTGTTGATTTAGTTAAAATGGAATACTGTATTATTTTTTAATGATTTTTTTTTTCTTTTTTTGGCGTGGGGTTAATGTAATTTCTGGGATGGTGGGGAAGTGTCTCTGATTTTTATTTAGATAAATTTTATTTATTTTCAATTTTTCTAGCTCACTTATATTGCATATGATCCGTTATTGTGTATAATTAGGTTACAATAAAATTTGTATTTTATATGAGTACTACCTTATGAAAACTGAAACGTAGTATCGGCCTTGGTTGTTACTATTACAACGTTTCAACTCATAAATCTTCCGGATTTCTTCAGATCTCTATCGATTCGGGCAACCTTCAGGGAATTTCTGAATTGAAACCTTTATTTAATTTCCGGAATAGATTCCTTGAAACAATAGCCAAGAGGATTAAAGCGTTGTTTCGTAAATTTAGTGACATAGTAACTATGAGTTCAATCCCTGTGTCAGGTGGCATCGACTCAGTGGAAACACTTCTGACCTAGTGTCGGGCTAAGTTAGTGTCGGATGCGCTCTATGCTTAACCCTGATATTAGAATAAGAACTTGATTCTGTTGCGTTCAATACTGTCATTAAATATGTCCTCAACACTAAAATCCTGTAATTCTTCATCTTCTTCCCTTTGCATGTGCGTTACTAGGCGATCATGTATCTTTCGATGCATGACTGACGAGGTAGGTTGCCATTTCTTTCTGCGGTAGACTGGTTGCCAACCAAGGCTAAATAACCCAGTCTGTTCTGCGATTCAACATGTATTCATGTAAGTGAATATAAACTCGACTGGAATTCGAACTCGGCTCTCCGCGTTCTCATTCCGAGCCGATATCCATCACGCCACAACGCACATCCCTGCTATTACCTCATAAATAATGCGCCATTCCATTTTGATCGCGACGAAAGAAGGAATAGAAAGAACGAGTAGAAAAATATATCAGAGATGCTGTCTAGTTTTAGTGGGAGAAAAAAAAAGCATGAAAGAAAAAAAAGGAAGAAAGAAAATGAAAGAGAAAGCAAAGATGACAGAGATAGAAAGAGAAAAACAAACAAACAAAAAAAACAAGAGAAAGGAAGCAATAGCAGAGCGAAATGGAAGTAAAGTAAAAAGAAAGGAAAGAAAAAGAAAGGAAAGAAGAGGAAGAAAAGGTATATTGTTTAAAAGGCAAAGGAATTGTTTGACTGATTCGATTTCCTTTTACAGCCAGAAAATATTTTTTCATAGCATTTCTTTAGAGATAATAATGGCCTAGTGATAGAAGACATACTAATTAACCCATAGCTGTTGGGGGCAAGAAGGCATTTACACATGTGAATATAACGAACCCAGCAGGAATTGGAACTCTACTCTCCAATTAACAATTTTGAACCATTATCCATTACACCACCCGGTATTACTAAACGGTCACTCATCTAAGTACTGACCAGGCTTGAGGTTGCTTAGCTTCGGTGATCGTACGCGAACCGGTCTTTAAACGTGATGTGGACGTATGCCAAATAGCAAGGCATGTCATATTAATGATTTGAGAGTTGTATAAATTCGTATATATTTTATTTTACTTTATATACGGTTTATATGTAAGGTTTATCAAATGAAAGTTTAAGTTTTGGGATAGTGTTGTTATCAATATATGTAAATATACAGTAAAATGTTTACTGTAAAAATGTTCAATTTTGAATCTTTTTATTTGTACCCTCTTACTTCTTTAAATAATAACCTGCATTCGCACTCATGATTATTATTGCAATATTTTGTTAAAGTTGTTAAGCTCAAATATTTAACGAGGCTGTAAGGAAATTCCCAAAATTATTTTATAATCGTGGATTTCGAACCCATTCGATCATTAATATAAGACCCATGATTCATCAGAAAATTCAAAAAGAAAAACCGTGTAATTTTCACAGGTTCTGCTAGTTAAATTAAAATGATTAATATTCACATTGTTAATGTTACCATGTAACCCTCTAGAGCAGCGTTCCCCAACCTTTTCTCAACCAGCGCCCACTTCGGGCACAAACTTTTTGTCAACGCAGACAAATTAAATTACGAATATAATACTGAATTCATCTTTCATAGCAAGATGATACTTAGATATTAGTGCAAAAATACTGTTTTCATTTCTATTAGAAATGCCAATGATTAAAATCCTAAAAAATAAAAAATAAAATTTATTTGATAGTTTATCTCAATGTTTTCAGTGCGATGGTTAACTTTGGTGCTTACTTGCTAAGACTCTTACTCTAGATTTCATGCTGCTTAGAATTAATCGTAAATCACGTTGTTTTGTAACTTGCAGGCGTTTTCTTTGTTTAGTAAGAAGCTCTGTAACTGTTTTGAAACCACGTTCAGCCATGTATGAAGTTGAAAAAGCAATGAAGAAAAGTTTGATAGCTTTCCACAGCACTTTCAGAAATTTCTTTTTGTAGCCAATATTGAATAATTTTTGAAAATCTGAATAAAAAATGGATACATGTTCACTGCCCCCACCCAAATGAAATAAAAAAAAAGTCCTAGTATCCCCTTTCAACATAACAGAGTCCACAAAGAAGCGCTATCGCCCACTTTGGGAAACACTGCTCTAGAATATTAAAGTAACCATATATAATCTAGCCTTAGCAGCAATGGCTGTATCTAATGCATCACCTCTTTTGGCTAGTTATGAAATCATATTTTCCTTCTTCTAGGCTGGTTGCTCTAACAAGGCTAAGAAAACAGCCTACTCTGCTATTTAACTGGTGCCCGGAAGAAGATGGATCCATTTCTTTCCCAAGGGCATTAGCGCGAAACGAATGAAATAGAATCAACCAGAAATTGAACTCTGCACCCCTATTTCACTTTCAGTATCGATAACCGTGAGACTATACACACATCCTCATCAGCTGAACGCTAAGATAAAGTGTTACCCCCCCGCTGGTCTACTGAGATACTAAGAGCAGGTCATAATTCCGATAACAGCAATAAAAACCGCAAGTAATTATATTTGCAATATGATAGCCTTGCTGGAAAGGCTGTTATCGATGACTTGATGTGAGTCGAACGATAATTTTTCCTGGTCTCGTGATATTCTTGTTTTAACTATATCTTATGTCCTGACTTTAAAAATATAGTTTTGGCTTCACTAACATTTACCGGGCGCATAGCTCTGTCAGTAAACAACGATGTGAATAAAAATGGAATAAAACTAATTATGTTTTCCCAAATTCTCTCACACTCAGTAACCTTTTATGTCTTAGTGGCTTTATTGCCTTGTTTGGGGTGAAATGATAAAAAAAAACCGTAGAGTCTTTTCACATAATGCATGGTAATTCACAGTTAATAAAGAAAAAGAATATGTGGAGAGTCATGATCGCTCATGCTCTGAAAAGACAAGGCATTAAAAAATGATTAATATTGATGGATGATATTTATTGCCAAATTTAGCTATATTCTTTTACTATTAATCAGTTATTTTGTAAAGAATATATTAATAAAACCAGCTTTAGATCAATATTTGGTTACATTACAAGCTGTTCATTTGTGATATTTCTGACCTACCTTGTGGTCGAGATAATTGCGTATTTCTTACAGGTGCCAACAGTCGCTATTCACACATAAGAACTAGGATTTTGGGTTCAAATTTTCAACACAAGTAACCTGTACACCATTAATTTACATACATCGAAGTGCGTCCATTTTTTTTCTTTTTTTCTTGTTGGGAATTCACTTTTTCTTTCTCTCTTTTTTTTTTTTTTTTTGACGTGGGTCAAAACAGACAATGTAATTTTTTGGTTCGTGGGTAACATTTGATAAAATATTTTTAAAAAAATAAATAAATAAAAACGTTAAAATATGAAGCACACCCTATCATTTTGCAGTTGTGGGAATTGTCAGTTGCCCACCATGGTGCTGTCTCGGAGTTTCAAGAGTAAAACCTAAAATAGTTTTTTTTTTTTAATCGCTTCACTTCCAAGCAGGTCGACAATGCCACTAGGACACAAGGGGTTACAGGGAGTGAAAGAAAATGAGAAGACTTTAGTGAGGAGAAGTAAGGAAGAAACAATAAAGAAATAGTGTAATCTCATTATAATATTTTAACAAGTCCTACTCAGTCCTGATTGAACAATCGGATCGACATGATTGAACTAGTGTCACTATCTACCGTTGATTCTAATTAGGTTGAATAAAATTGCTTATTAAAATTGCTTAGCACAATAATAAGCGAAGACATTTTTAACTAGCTTAAAAAACCGCATTCCGTGCAGGCTTTTTAAGCTCGCTCCTGCGTAGGGCTAATTGGGTCTCCAGGCCAAAACTAAAGGAACCTCAGGTTCAGCTTAGAAAACAGCAATGATAATTTTGAAGACATAATACTGAATTCCTTAATTCACTCAATGGAGCTTCAAAACCTCACTTTAACTCCGATTTGGGCTATAAGTCCAATTCCAACCAAAAACAGATTTGGTCCGAAAGTTCAATTCAGGCCGAAAATTAAGTTATTCAAATCACAAATTCCGTAGAACTTCAAAACTGATTACTTGGCATTTTCAAGAAATAAAATTGATTTCCTCAATTCAAAAAGTTTTGGAGATATTTTAAACTGAATTTAAAACAAAACAAAAAAAAATTAAATTCACAACGTTTACTTTAAACTCAATATAAATTAAAAGCTTTTAAAATCACTAATTTTTTTTCAGTTATTTTAAAATGTGTTTCCTCTTCATCCGGACACAAATCCCAGTGCTGGATTTTCAAGCACAAGATGAAGGGCAAATTTTCAACCCCGAGTTCATCCTGCTTCCCAAAACGTATAATATGTCTATGTAGAGCAAGTATGGCCCAGGTTAGAGGTGTTTTAGACACACGGATGGACAGACAGAATTTGCCGATTATTTATTTAGATTATGGGTTGTTATTCTTAGATTTTCTTTCAATTCATTTAGTCACCGTAATTATCAGTATTATACGCCAATTGGATCTTTTCTGTTAGTTAATTCACCTCAAAATAAAAAGAATTTATATTTACTAAAATTAACACGAAATTTTCCCAGAACGAGACCCTTCCATTGCATTCCAGTTGGGTTGACTTTTGCGATCGCCTCAAATGTGGGCGATTTGGATGAGCTATTTTTAAGTTTGGGGGTCTACATTCGCGCTCACCCTGATAAACAAGCCAAAAAGAGATGTTTTTCTTTTTTTTTTAAATTGTAAAATATTCCTCGTAAGTACCTCGAATATTAAACCCGCAATTAAAAATTGTGAATAACTTTTTGTTTTTTGGTAATTTTTCATTCTGAGGTAAGCTAAACAAATTTTGATTTATAATTTTAAGAAAGTGCTAAAAATTTAATAAACAAAACAAACTTTGATTTAAAATTTATAATTCAAGTAACTTTACATTATTTGAGATGAATTCACAGGATATTTATCAATTCCATGCAGTCAACTATTTTATGCAAGTCGTTATCTTCAGAAAAGTGATAGTCAAGTCATATTCTTCTTGCAAACACCATAAGTGCTTGCGAATTCGAAGTACTACAAAATTCACTTGAGAGAATAAAATATTAATCGATTTTGAATAAATTTTAAACTAAAATATTAAAAAAAAAAATGCTTTCTACGAATGAATAGGTGTAGTGCTTATGAAATCAACGATGTGGGAATAAAATCAATGATTCTGAAATGCATTTGCGGACGAAGTTTAGAAATCAAGAATGTTGGCCACAAGACCGGCCGGAGATTAAATCTTTACGAGAAAATGGTTACAACAGAATTACCAAAATACAGAGAATTCTGTTATCATGCGTTCTTTATATTCACGAAGCTTCGTTCAGTACAACATAGAACCAAGTGGGAGTAGAAAAATGGACTTCGTCACCGTTCTAAATGGTGGCTTGGCTAATTGTGTTGAAAATCTGTTCATAAAAGCCTAGCTCATTACTTGGGTCTGAATAGCGACTATTGCCACCTGTAAGAAATACGCAATTATCTCGACCACAAGATAGATAAGAAATATCATTAATGAGCAGCTTGTGATGCAACCAAATATTGATGTAAAGTTGGCTTTATTAATATATTCTTTACAAAATGAGTGACTAATCGTAAAAGAATACTACTAAATTTTGGCAGTAAATATAATTTATATTAATTTTTTAATGCTATGTCCTTTCAGAGCATATTCTTTTACTTTATTACCTGTGAATTATCATGTTTTATTTGAAAAGACAGTGGAGTGATTTACTCTAGTTTTTTTTAATCATTTCACCCCAAGCAAGGCAATAAAGCCACTAAGACATAAACGATTACTGAGTGTGAGGGAGAAAAAGGAGAAAAACATTATTACATTATTGTTACATCTAGCCATTTCACTTGTAAAATGGTGAAACCAATGTGCCAATCTAGTACTGCGCTTAAATTGATAAAGTCGAGGTACCAAAGAGAAATGTTAATCAGAACAATTACCAGATCAGCACCAATATAAAAATATCTGGATAAAAGTGACAGAATGCTGCTA